CCGTTCTTCCAGCTAGGTACCTAACAAAGGACTTCCATTTATCCTTTCTAATGGCGATACTTTTGATACCTTAAGATAAGTTTTAATAAACTATTTTACTATTTAATTTGAATAATACAATAATTGATGAGACTTCCTAAGAATATATTATTACATTGCCTTTCAAAAATAAATTCAAAAGCCGAACAAATTATTTTTGTCATGCGCTCCCAAAAACAGCTATTTTACGGACTCATTCAAGTCCGTAAAATGCTTGTTTTTAAGATTTTTTTTCCTTTCTGGTTGCACCTTTATGATTTCAAAAATTAAGGAAATTTTACAAATTTTAGCGTTCGGAAGAATTCTAAAAAGCGTATGACAAAAAATAGTGTTTGTCACACGTACCTAACGAAGTTTTTCAGGACTCATCTGCTATTCGGGACTCGGCTAACGCCTCGTCCGGAAACATTCGTCCTGAAAAACTTCATTTTAGGTACTTGTGACAAAAATAACTATTTTATGGAGTCAATTTTAATCGACCAAATAAAAACGAACCTGCAAAATATCAGGTATTTTCAATTTTATCATTGTATAAAAAAAGTCTGTTTGTTTATACAATGGTTTTTATGAGTATATTTATTAATCCTAAGAACGGGAGGAACTGGATTTATTATTTCGTGTTCGTGTTTGATAGTTGGTGTTTTTAGTGGTTTTTCTTGAATTTTCGTGTGGCGTACTTTTAAAACTGCTGGATTTTTGAACTTAATTTCAGCAGTGTTTCGACCTCGTAGAAATTGTAAGTTCCTCCTGACTATGACTATGGAGTCGAAAAGAGCGCGTCCCCTTTGTATGGTTTTATTTTGCCAAAATAAAGGTAAAATACCGGGAATTAGCTATTTCAAGTAAGTAAAACAACAAATATAAAGCTTATAATTAAGCTTGTATGAACATTTTCAAACACTACTTGAAAATATTTAAATGCGGTCCTGTTTACTCAACCTTGATCTTGAAACGATTCCAAACAGTGAAATTGTAATGCGCACGTACAACGGCTACCCGGTTTGGCGCAGGTTTTTGGTCCTACAGTTTGCCATTTTTCGAATACGCTAATGCTTATCCATTTATAGAGGTCAGTGAACGGCCCGGATTAGTTTTTGCGGCAATTTAATTAACACACAACATATAACAAGAACCTGGAACAAGCCAAGTGAGCTGGAACAAGTCTGGAAAATGTCTGGATAAATCTGGATGAAGTCTGGAAAAGTCTGAAAAGAGCCTGGAAATTCCTGGAAAGGGTCGGAAAAATTCTGCCAAGGGTCCCAAAAGACCTGAGGCTCATTTCCCAGAATCCGGATTAATGTGGAAAAGTCTGGATAAGGTCTGGATAAATCTGGATAAAGTCTGTGAAACTCTGGATAAGTCTGAATATTGTCCGGAAGAGTCTGGAAATCTCTGGAAACGTCTGGAAAAGACTTGGAAATTTCTGGAAAGGGTTGGAAAAATTCTGAAAAAGGTCCCAAAAGACCTGTGGATCATTTTCCAGAATCCGGATCAGTCTGAACAAGTCTGGATTAATCTGGATGAAGCCTGAAAAACTCTGGAAAGCTCTGGATAAGTTTGGATAATGTCTGGAAATCTCTGGAAACGTCTGGAAAAGGCCTGGAAATTTCTTGAGAGGGTCGGAAAAATTCTGGAAAAGGTCCCAAAAGACCTGGGGATTATTTTCCAGAATCCGGATCAGTCTGTACAAGTCTGGATAAGGTCAGGATAAATCTGGATAAACTCTGTAAACTCTGGAAAAGTCTGGATATTGTATGGAAAAGTCTGGAAATCTCTTCAAACGTCTGGAAAAGACTTGGAAATTTCTGGATAGGGTTGGAAAAATTCTGAAAAAGGTTCCAAAAGACCTCGGGATCATTTTCCAGAATCCGGATCAGTCTGAAAAAGTCTGGAATAATCTGGATGAAGTCTGGAAAACTCTGGAAAGCTCTGGATAAGTCTGGATAATGTCTGGAAACGTCTGGAAAAGGCCTGGAAATTTCTTGAAAGGGTCGGAAAAATTCTGGAAAAGGTCCCAAAAGACCTGGGGATCATTTTCCAGAATCCGGATCAATCTGTACAAGTCTGGATAAATCTGGATGAAATCTGGAAAACTCTGGAAAGCTCTGAATAAGTCTGGATAATGTCTGGAAGAGTCTGGAAATCTCTGGGGCTGACACGCTTTTATAATACATCGAACTAAAAAGTGAAAAATAAATATAGTTTGAAAAAACTAAAAAACACGCTTTTATAGTAAATTGAACTAAAAAGTGAAAAATAATTTTTAATATAAACAGAAAATATTAATGAACAAAAAATATTAGAATTATTGTCAAAAAAGCGCGGGGTGTTCAATGTATGAGAAATGTGGAACAAAGCACAAAGCACCCCACGCTTTTTAGTTCAATTTACTATAAAAGCGTGTTTTTTAGTTTTTTTAAACTATATTTATTTTTTTTGCGTTCTTTCTCAAATCTTTTGGAGGGGGGGACGCCACTGTGTATGTTAGTATGTGTGTAATGCATGCAGTTCGATGAAGGTTTCACTTCTACTGGGTGCGAACTGCACACTTTTTTTTTATAAGTTTGATGCCTTTTTGATTTGTATCGTGCCTTATGAGTGCTTCATAAGTAAAACGCCGAACACCAAAGGAATTTCATTTTTTTTTACTGTCTCGTTTGATTTGACTATCGATAGACAGTCAACGTCGACTCCAAGAATATCTTATTGGTTAGATTTCTTAGCGGCGTCCCTGGCGCCATAGGGCGGCATATTTCTTTGAAGCGCCTGCCGCAAAGAAATCAGTTTCGTCTGGAAAGACAGTGCAGTAGATATTTTTTATAAATTTGATTCCTATTTGATTTGTATAGTGCCTCATGTCTTATTTTATATAAAACTGTTTCATTAAATTTCTCGTACTCCGCCGGACGTGCTTCATTTATTATTTTGTAGAAATGGTAAATGCCCATGTTTGAATTGAGAATAAGTGAAAAATCTTTCTGAGGCGTGTTTTTTTTACAACTTTTAGATCAAAATTTGGGTTAGTTTGGGTCAGTCCAAAAAAATTTGCGCGCCTCTGGGGCTTCCCCCCTGAGTGTGTGCACCGCCAACTTTTCCTGTCACCAGCCGCCACTGCGTGATGTGTACAAAATTTTATCCCATTTTGTGGAAATTAAAAAAATAAAGTACAAGGAAAAATGCCGAGAGTGAGTTAATAGTTATTTACCTAACAAATGCGGAAAGTGATACTTTACCGCACGCAACGGCAGTTTGCCGTTTAGGGCAGTAAAGGCACTTTCCGCATGTGTTAGGTACAAAATTTTACCTATGAGCATCTATGTACATCTCTAAAACAAGGCATTGATAAAATTAAATATTGAATCAGATTAATTAATAAAATTAGATTAGATATAGAAATGATCAAAAATCCATTTTCTGAAAAAGAGAGGATTTCTGATTAAAAATATTAAATTTTACTTTACCGCACACTATGCGGTAAAGTGCACTTTACTGCACACTTTGTAGTCCACTTTACCGCATACTATGCTGTAAAGTTAACTTTACCGCACACTATGCGGTAAAGTGCACTTTACCGCATAGTGTGCGGTAAAGTGATACTTTCCATTTGCAAATAAGTGCGGTAAAGTGCACTTTACCGCACGCTCGTAGGTAAAAATATTTTAAATCACTGAGTTGTCAGATTTTTAGTTACGCAGAGTGACTTAAAATGCCTAGAGCGAGTTAAATTTTTTTATGTCCGATTGACCAATGAAGTGCTATTTATAGAACAGTTTTGCCTCAATAAAGTAGCGCTTTATTTTACTGTAAAATAAAGTGCTACTTTATTGCCTACCTGGACTACCTGGCAGCCTGCCAAGGTGAAACAGGTATACTCGAATTTTTTTTTTTAGTATATTTTTTTTTCCTCAAAAATAGTTGTTTTTTTTTTAAATTGCCGCCATATTGGTTTCACAGGGGGAAGCAAGTGCTGCGGGTCATATCGATCTATGGGCGGTTACACACGGACGTGGATGTCTTAATACATATACGTGCATACATCAGCGTGCAAACAACAACGTGCATGGCGCTTTTGTACAGACGCTCGCACAAAACTGCAGTCTTGCTATTCTTGCTACAGTGTTCCGAGTGTGCATACAAAATTGCACATTCAAAAACGCGACGATATCTTGCATACACATTGATGTTTTTGTTTGCACGTTTATGTATGTGCGTACATGTTTTCAGACATCAACGTCCGTGTGTAACCGCCTTATTGGACATAAACATCATCTGTGCCAAGTGGCTTGCTTTCTTCAATATTCGTCAGATTTCTTAAATTTTGATTATGTACGTACTGCTTCGGCTACTTGGACTGGTTAAAGGGGGTGTGCGCCAAAAATTAAAGTTTTAGTGTAAAAAAATCTAAGAATAACTGTTCAAACCTCGTTATTCTACGATAAACCATCGCTGAGATATACCGCTTTAAAGTGTGGACGACGCTCTCGTGACGTCACAAAAACTTCGCCCATCGGCGCTCTGCATTGTTAATTTGATTGTTCCCGGCACGCGTGAGTGGTTTTTGGTTAGATTATTGCAGGTAACACAGGAAAAACATTATGTAAATTTAATTAAATCCACTTTCTCGTGCGTCGCTTGAGCTTTCGTGACGTCATAGGGTGAGATGCGGTACCTTCATAGAGCCATATCTGCGGTATTATTTGTCATAGAGGGGTGCGGATTCCACTGTTATTCTTAGATTTTTTTCTCTTTTTTTTTGAGATGAAGTTGTTTTTTTGGCGCACACCCCCTTTAAGCGCTGATGGCAAGCAGAGGGGTTGAATGTTAACCCAGACAAAGCCGAAATGGTCACACTTAGGAAAGAACGCTGAGACAAGTACCCGAGGCCAAAGTTCATCATCCAAGAGCAAAATTACAGTTCCTAAGTAGTAATAAATACATGTACCTATTAGAGAACAAATTACCTATTTTCTTCAAAATCATCAAATTTAGCAATCAAAATCCGTTTATTAAGTTTCAAAGCGTATTCGTAATCAGCTTTGAAACTGGGCAATGACGAGACGATAATAATTAAAGCTCTAAGGGCTGCATCCCTTACGACGCTTATGGCACTTTGCAGAGCTGTCAATAGAACATCAATTTCTTCTAATGATGCGCAGGTACATCCTGGTTTTTCGCTTACACTGTATGCGATATCAAGTAGACAGGCTACAGATTGAGCTTGAATACGACTCGAACTGTTACCTAGAGAAAATTTAATCCAAAATCAAATTGCACATTGCGATAATATACCTACTTACATATTATATCAACTAATAATAAAAACATTTGCTTAGTTGGTAGATATTTAGGATGATACAGATCAATATCACTATATTCATTATTTCCTCTTAGTTTTGCATGTTCCGAAATAATTTGTAAGCCATCGCGTATTAACTCGTCGTGTTTTTTGGCATAATTTGACGTTAAACTGTATTTTAATAGAAAAAAACTGTAGCTGAAAGCTGGCACGGTAAAAGTTTCGGCTGCATATTCTTCATTGGTTCCCTTGCGGACTGTCTTGTCATGAAATAATCTAATTACTCTGACTACAGCTTTGTTTAAATTTTCTTTCTCCCAATTTGGATCTAGATCGCATTGGGGCTTGCACAGTCTTAGAGTGATTCTAGCAATTGATTCTCCTAAGCTGTTTAAGTTTTGGTTGAGGAAAATCTTATCTCCCAATGCCAAATATAGTTTGGTAAGATAAGGTGCTGCTAGAGGGGATCGTAAAGCTTGCAAAATCAGAGGAATAATGTCTTTGTAATATAGAGACAACTTCAATGGATTGCCTGCGGCGGCTGCACTAATCATCGAAACACTTTTACATATAATTTCGTCCAACTAAAAAAATAAATATATAGCTGTTTGTGAAAACGCCTTACCAAATGCTACAGTAAATTGAACCTATTTGATTGGTTTTTTCTAATAGGTTATTAGTATATGAGTATAGACCTGAGTGGAGTAATTTTTGTTTGTTTGGGATATGATGGTCTGAATGTAGCTAAATAGCTGATGATAATGAGGATGGCTTTTAATGCTTCCGTTCGAAAAATAAATTTTCATTTACCTACATCAAATATTTTGTTTTTTTTTATAATCCTAAATTGTCGTGCATTTGAATAAAATATTTACATTGATAATTCACCAATAAAAAATGCCAGACGATTTTCAATGGCCGAAAAAGTTGGGGAATCCGGATCAACTTGCAAGAGAAAAAAGCAGCTTCCCAATCGAGAGAATGAAATTAGTGTGCATTACCCGATCCGAATACACCCCCCACCCTTCTGATGTCACACGCAGTGGCGTAGCCAAACCAAACGTGGACGTCGGCGACATCCGAATTGCGAGGCCCTTTTTATGTAGGGTGATATAACGACTAACGACAGGGACGGGTAGCTGCCGGTAGTCCCGCCGAAAACGAGAATTTTTTTAGTGTTACGCCCCTTTTTTCGGGCATATCAACGGTATTCCATAACAATATTTAGTCAAAAATAATAATAAGGAAAGAAACAAACTGTATTTCATTGATTCTCTCAATTAATTTAATTTACTTTTACGTGTAATATTTTTTAGGTTTTATATTGTTTGTGACCTTCTTGTGTAAAAATCTGTAATTCTCGTCGTATCGTAATGCTTTTTATTTACAACCACATACGTAATGTTGTCATTTCTGACTTTTCAAATGTTTGAAAGTGACAGTTTTTTGAATTTTACTTTCCTCCCGGGGGGAAAGTGGTCCTGGGTGGAAAGTAAGCCCTCATTTAATAAAATGAAGACAAGTCCTGCATGTCGAACGGTTTTATATTCGGGGGCGGGGGGGGCTAGGGTGACGCTAGCCCCCCCCCCCCAGTTATTCGATCTTCTCAAAAATGCTGGCGCACATTCGTACCACCTAGCGCAAGTTGTGTCATAGCTAGCGCACCTATCGTAGCTGTCATACAGGGTGGACAAAAAAAATCATGAGCCCCTACAAGTGATTTTTAATTTTTCAAAAATATACACCGCACAAAAATTATCGCATCTATCAACGCAGAAAACACAAAAATGAACAGCATAATTGCAAAGTGAAATGTATGCCTATTCGCATTTTCCCGAAAAAAGTAAACAAGAACCTAACAGAAGAAGAAACGACATGTTTTTTGACTCGAATTTTTCAGTTAAAGAATGCCCATTTCATTTAGGGAATACTTAAGAAATTTTTAAAATAAATTTACTGTAGCCAAAATATTTGAAAGCATTGGTGATGCGATAATTTTTGTGCGGTGTGTATATATGAATCCTTAAAGCTAGCGCAGGTAAAATTCGAGCAACCGCATTACCCCTTTAAAACATACACACATACAGGTATTTATTCGGGAGGCGGCTAGAGTGCCGCTAGCCCTCCCCCCCCCCCCCCCTGTTGTTAAATCCTTTCCAAAATGCTGGCGGAAGTTCTTGACACTTTTATCGTAAGTTGTGTCGTAGCTAGCGCAGCTATAGTAAGTGAATGTTATACAGGGTGAACTATGAAATCTTACAAAATGTCGCCAGCTCCAAGACAAGATTTAACGTTTACAAGCGCTATCTATTCGCGAAGTAGGTAACTGAAATTTAACCTCAATGAAAAAATTGAGGTAGGTATCTTTTTCAACCTTGATGCGCGCGCAACTAGTGGGTTGTACAGTGACTGTATTACCACAGTGGCGACAATAATTGCAGTCTTATTTATGATTGGTTCTTTAAAATCCTATAACATGTTCATATTAATGAACTGTGTTCACTTTGTGGCGTAACTCTTGCTAATTTTAAATATGAATATATCCGATTTATGGACATCGATCATAACAAATTGAGAACAACGTATTTGATATACCTAATAATGGTCATCAAATACATTGTTTCCAATTTTGTATGATAAATGTCCATTTAAATCCTATATATTCGTATTTAAAATCAGCAAGAGGAAAGCCACAAAGTGGCGGCGGGACCTCTATTGTCGCCACTGTGTTAGGTTTATTGTCACTGTAGTGAGTTTAGGGATGGCAACGACATATCGATATTTAGTTCGTCGATATATCGATACTGAATATTGTCGACATTTTTAGTGGTGGTGGCGGTAGAGTTTGTCAGGTTTGTGAAGCAAGAGCTAGTACTTTTTTTATCACCAATTAAGAATTACGTTGATTGAATGCATTTAGTGATCCGGTCCCATTTCACAAAACTACAAGTTACAATTTACAATTTTACAGTTACTAGTACTTGTAATGCACCAACAGGTGACTCGCTCGTTCCTACAAGTAAAAACATAACCAAACTCTTGTTGACAAGCTTTAACGGTTTTTCAGTTGTTGAGTGAATTGGCATTGTGTACCTTATCGGCCCTAACTGCGTTAAATTATTATTTTTATTTGTCACTCATTTGTAAAACGTCACTTATCAAGTCAAAACATAACCAGCGAAAATTGATTTTTACAAGCTACTGGCTCTACTGACTTGTAAAATTGACAGCTAAACTGTAATAGTATATTACATACCGAGGTGGAAAGTGTTTCATTACTGTCGAGAGATCAGTTAGTTAACTGAGACGCGAAGCGTCGAAGTTAACTATAATCTCGAGACAGGAATGAAACTTCCTACCGAGGTTTGTATACTATTTTATTTACAACAATTACAAACCTCATTATTTCGACTAAATACTAAAAAAAAATTAAAAAATTTGTTGACAAGTTCTGACTCATCTAAAAAAACGTTTGACATGCAGGACTCGTCTTAAACATTTTAGGAAATGAGAACTTACTTTCCACCCGGGTGGAAAGTGAGCACTTTCCACCCGGGACCACTTTCCACCCGGGTGGAAAGTAAAATTCAAAAAAGTGTCACTTTCAAACTTTTGAAAAGTCAGAAATGTAAACATTACGTATGTTGTTGTAAATAAAAACTTTTTACAAGTCAGTAGAATTATTTATTTTTGAAAAATCGGTTTTATCACAAGAATAATTGCTTGTAGGTACCTTCTGGGAGACTTTTCTGGTGATAAACTGTTGGCTACGACTGAGGCTTCATTAATAATATCTTGTAATAAATTCATTTCTGGAAAAAAATTGCAAAATGGAAATCTGTCAAAAAACCTATTTATAACTAGAAACAACGTCTTAACAACGTATCATTCTCATAGTTATACCAACTACCAAAACTTCTGTGAGAAAAAATCAAGGAAAAACATATAAATTTCAAATTTTTGTTATGTATTGATTTTTTATTTGTCCCTATATCTTTTACAAATGAGTAACAAATAAATTATTGTACATTATACGCCAGGTAGCAGTTTTTACTGGCTCTTGAAGGTGACAAGCTCGCCTGGCGGCTCGCTAGTCATTTCCTTCAATCGCCAGTAAAAACTGTTTTACCTGGCTAATAATGTAAAATACTATTTTTATTGTGTGAGACATTTTTTAAAATGAATGTAAAGAAAGAAGGGCGGCTAGAAGTTTTGAAGGCAATCCGAGAATCAAAGAATGTTCTTATGGGAGCATTTTCGGATAAGTTGACGAAAGATGACAAGATTAAAGCATGGAAAGTTATTCATAATAAAGCCCTGACCCTTGGTTTGGTTCCTGAGAACAAAGATTACACTTATACCAGAGATACGTTCTGGCAAAATATAAGAAAAAATACAATGGTAAGTAAAACGTTTTTGAGCACTTAAGCGCTGATTAAAAAACAATTATCGTAAATTATGGCTTTCAGACGTTTAGTTTATCTTTCTGAGTTTGATAGTTTCTTAACAGACCATATTAAACGTTTGGAAATTGTGGGAAGGGTAATGTTAGTTACCTTCCTCATCAAGTATGTGATAAATCTATCTTGAACAATTAAAAACAGCTCACTATTTTTTTTTATTATACTTACTTCTCTTTCACTCAACGACTCAGGTTTTTCGTTAGCGCAAACAAGCTACTGAATTTTACGTCTGAAATGTTAATTTATATTTTTTGTTAAAACTAAAGAAATACACTTTCGGACAAACGAAACGTGTCACTATAATTTTAGGTACTTTTTGTGACATCATATCACGCTATTTTCAATTATTTATTCATTTCAGAAAAAAATTGACAACAAGAAACAAACTGGGAGCGGAGGAGGTCCAGAATGCAAATTTACGGAAATAGATAATATAGTATGTGACATATTAGGGCGAGATAGCCCTGTAATTCAAGGACTTCCTACAAAGGGGTCGTGGGACGAAGTTTTGCCAAATAGCGATAAGGAATCTACCATTGATGTCACTGAAATAATTTATCCTATAAAATCTGTTGAAGAAGCCACTCCAAAGAAGATTCTACCAAAAAAGCTCCCTATAGTAGATAACTTAGAAAATGTTACAGAAATAACATATGATGAAACCATTGACAATTAAAAAACTGTGATTTAATCATAAAAAAAATGAAATATATTTTTTATAATTAAAGAAACCTTTTATTTTTCTGACTCATGATTTACACGGGATATATTTTTAGTAAGTAGTAGTACTTTCAAGAGAATATGTAACAGGATTTACCTAAAATAATTAATCAGTTCTAAGAGTCTTCTCTCAGCGACTGGTGGAGGATTTTGGTCTTCATGATCAGCCAAGTTTTGTTCTTGGTCTTCAAACTGCAGAATAATTGGCTCGTTGGCATCATCAATTCTGGCAAAGTTGCAAAGAGCAGTGCAACATTTGGGAACCTCACTAGCAAAAGTTGGTTGCAAACGTAAATAGTTTAGACACGGAAATTTCTCTTTAAGTATCCCTAAAGAGTTTTCTACTATCCTTCGTGTTGACTTGTGAGCCCTATTGAATCTGATCACTGCCGGATCCTCAA